AGTCGAGACTACGACGTTTATATTTGGACGTAAAACGGGGGGGGGGGGGGGGGGTTAGGTTCACCTGTCCGACTGAACGTAAGGCAGAAAACAATAAGTGTTTCATAATATTAATCCCTGCACTGTACCCATAAACAACATCCAATATGTCGCTAATTCAATTGTACAACACAGACAGATAATAACGCGACAAAATAAGTGAATCAAAAAAATACATCACAAAATTATAACACTGCACCGTACATTTGGGAAGCCGCATTTACCTCGGCACAAAAGAAGGTCATGGTCAAGGAGATGTCAATGATGCCACTTCCAAATGCGTCTGCCATGGCACGTGCTCGACTCGCGGACGCCGAGATGCGTGTGGCCGGGACTTGTTATTGAAAGGAGTCTTACGCTCGCAAAGGAACGCATCGAATTTGCACGCGCAAGGGCTCAATGCTTGTCCGAGTCGAAATCTCGTGAGAAATTGGTTCACGCGAATCCTTGGCAGCCTTCGCGTTTATTTTACTTTACCGGGCAAGGGCCCCGCTGAGCTGTATAGAGCGCTCGTTTTTCAGAAGCGACATGGCTCTTACAAATGATAGCTCAACGAAGTGGCTGATCATCACATGGAAATGCATCGCAGCCCAAACACTCTCTAAACCAGTGGTTCTTAACCTTTACTGCAGCCTGCACTCCCCCTTAGATCTCAATCGTTAAAACAATGTTCATAAACACATAGGGATCGATTAAACTCAGGAGTTACTTACGTGCCATTGCTTCATTTGTCTTTATAAATCCTTCATATTAAGTTCACTTACTTGCTTGCGCGCTTACGGCCGTGCAAATCTTTCGGTCGTTTTTTAACCCACTTCCCGTGATCCAATCGAGCTGACATTTTGCACACAGACTCGTTGTGCGTGACAATTTATTTTCGTGAAAAATTTTTTTTCCAAAATGTTACACTTTTTAGGAAAAAATAAATTATATTTAATTACCAATTGCTTAATGGTGGCAGGCAATCATCTGACCCATAGGTGGCAGCCATCTCAAGACAGAGGACGAGAGGACTCTAGCCGCCACGCATATAAAGGATTTATAGTGAAAAACTTTGTTTTTACGGGTTAATTTTTTCGATTATTTACCTTCGAAATAAATCTGGCATGTCTCGCACCCCCAGGAAGGGCATCTCGCACCGCTGGTTAAGAGCCACCGCTCTGAACGTACGTTTCTAAATGAATATCAAATTGTTGATGACACCAGCATAGCAACAATTCCTCACATCGCAGGCGAGACGGTCATTGGAATTCACCCAAGCAATACAAGAGACACAGTCGGGCTGAACTCCCACTCTGTACAAAACGGTCATATCGATTACGTTGGTTTACACATCTGTGCCTCGCAACGCTTCCATTTATCGCCAGCGTCCATCGTTCACGCAACATTTGCCTTCTCACGATTGCCGAGTAGCTGCAGACGATCTGGAAGGCAGCAACCAAGCTACCAACAATTGCCCAAAGCTCTGCAATCCCCTATTCACACAGATGCTTTCATACAATTCATTGTGTATTGGTCTTTGATGTGTGTGTTTTGTCGGGTTGCGGTGCGCGTGCCACCACCCTCGTTTGCACGGAGAGCCTCTCCTCTGCACCAGCGTGGACGGCACCCTCGTGTTCACCTTCTGAAGCGCTCGCTCGTCACCGCGGCGTGCGCGATGACCACCACCACCACCACGTGACTTTTCTTTCGTGTTGCGCGCGGTGCATTTATCGCCACAGCACGTGGATTTATAGCGTTTGATTTATGTGTTTGGTGGTGACTGTGTTTCGTATCGGAATCGCCTTCAGTACTGTTGCTGCTGGCGGCAATAAAAGTTGTTTAAAAGTCAAAGTCTCCGGGTGCCTCGCTTTCACCAGGCACGCACGGAGTGACGATCTCTCTCTCTCTCTCCTTGTCGTCTGGCCGATGTGAACATGGCAGAGCAACAACTGCATTTTCACATCCAGATGGTCAAGCCAGATAGCCGGGTCCGGAGCAGCGAGGGGAGTGCCATCGCGGACGTTTCATTCGTATATTTGCCGATGGGGGGGGGGGGGGGGGGGGGGTTGGGGCAATTGCGTCGTGATATTGCACGGCCTGCTCTGAATGACCACAATGACACACTTATTGGAGAGTTATACAGAGCCGTCTCCGGGAATTCTGGCTTCCATCCCGGAAGAAAATAAACAACACCGCTCGTCCCACATCCACACACGGCACAAGCAGCAGTAGCAGCACGTGGCGACTCCTTTAAAATCGCTCCACAAGCACGTGGAGCGAAACGTCGGACGTCGTGCCGGACACGAGGAGGTACAATCCGAGGTCGCATCGGGAGGGACGCGTCATCTCTTATCTTGGAGTTTTCCAGTCGGCGTTACCTTAAGCGATTTTTTTTCGCGGACAAAAAAAGCAATATCATCAAGATGAAAGGCGATCGCTTCTTCTATCGCGCTGTGTAATTATGGCTTAAACACTGTTGACGTCATTATAAATATATAAAAAATGACTTTTAATCTTCTCACGGGCGATGCGTCGCAATGACGGCGCTCACGACAAGAAGGACGCGCGCGGAGGGGAGGAGGGTATCGGCAGACTTTCCAAATTTATTACTTTTTGCCGATTTCCAGCACAGAGAGACCTTGTCACAACAGCAGGAGTAAAGAACAAAAAAAAACAACATCACACACCTGTACACAACCTCACCGCGGCGCGCGTGTTTACAGTAAAATAACAGCGGCGTACAGCGAAACGAACAAAGCAACGATCTTTTTTCTTGTTACGCACAAAAAAAACAATACATCACGTCAATTCCTTTGCGTGGGTGTTTGTGGTATGCGAAAGCAATTTCAGAGGTGCCCCGGGTTGATGCACACACAGTGACCAAGCAAAAAAAAAATTTCATTTCGTGGTGGTTGATACATCGCACAAAATGCATCCGCTCTATGCCGCCGGGACAAAAATAAAACTATACGGACGTACGCGTTAAATAAGTGACACCAAACTCCTCGAAAGAGAATCAGAAACAATGGGGGAAATTACCCGGCAATAGTTTCCCCAATGAAGTCAATAGACAGATGCGTTCATTAAGGACAAACGCGAGTTAGCGTTTTGCGAACAAATATACTTTGGACCAAAACAACCCACCTCCTGGAATCATTTGTTTAAATATGCTAACCCACACGCAAAATTGTATTTTGACGCAACGATGACGCGGGTTTTGTTTTCTCTCCCAACTTCCCTGTGGTTTCCCTGTGGCAGAACTTGACAACCATTCGAACAAAACGAGAGAGAAAGTACCCCCTGCTTTGGTAGGCAAATGCCCTGCAGTGTCGAAAAGACTTAATTCCTACAAAATCCACCGGCCCGCCTTTAAAATCTTTCACATCGAGTGCCGTCAGTCGACGGAGTGGAGCGGACGCAGCCGTGCCAAAAAAACACAAAAAACACCCATAATCTGTCTCATTTGCAGCGGTTGGCAACAAAAAAAAGAAGAAACCTTAGCAAAACCACAACTTGACAGCGTCGTTTTACACAGGCGGAGGAAGCGACGACACGATTACCGGCACAGCACAGGGGCACGTGTCGGCAGGACGACGCTTACGGCAAAAAGGTGTGCGCTGGCGTGAGAAACGACGCGTGTGGATTTTAGTCCGTGTTTAATTCATTTGCATATCACAAAAAAGTCCCCCCCCCCGCCAACCCGGCCTTGATGGAATTTATGAAGTGATTTTGGAATAAAACATTCACAGTCGCTTTGATTCTTTTTTGTTGCAAGTCCTCGGGGGGGGGGCTGTTGGTCGGAAGAAGACTGGTCCCGCTCAACGGTAAGATCACACGCCGAGGAGGAATGGACAAAAAGGGGGGGGGGGGGTGCGCGTGGAAGTGTGGGGGTGTGGGGGGCAACGCTGAAACGTTGACGGCGGAAAAGCTGGGGTAGAAAAATAGTTCCGAGTCCAGCGAGTAGTCATGAGATGGCGTGCGTGATCAGGAGAGGCCCCCCGCTTTGCAGCGACTACGCGACTCCTTCGCCGAAGGCCCAAACCTGCTCACAAGTCTCCAACCTTCTGCCGGCCTGTCGCGACTCCTTCCAGCAACCGTGGCGAGGGGCTGGCGGGCGGGCGATGTCGAAAAATAAAAATCGGCGGACCTGAAAAAGCCAAAACGCGACAAAACGCGCTGCGTGGCCGGGGAGATTTTTTTTTTTCCCCCCGACAGTCCAGCTGTGATCCAAGAGGAAGAAAATACATTCATTTTCATCGCTGCAACCACCCTAAACACACCCAACTCGACACACGAAATGTTGTTTGACTTTTCATCAAACCTTTTGTTCCCCCCCCCCCCCCAAAAAATATATGTATACGGTAAAAGAAATGTACACCTCGTCTAACCCCACCGCCCACGCGTAAAACTGTACATCTTTAAAGACCGCAAGGAGTTCGCGGATGGTTTGGAAAATAACGTGAGCCCCAACTGCTCCTTGCTTGTACCCACATTTTTAAACGCTGTTGACACGCAAACCTCCCGGAGGAGAATAACACGTTAATCACACCATTAGGTACGTTTTACATTAAGATTTTTTTTCGTAAATACTAAACGTGTCCCGTGTGAACTGTGTAACACCACTGACGCCTAATGGTGACACTGTCGAAATACTGACGTAGATGATCACCAAATTTAACGAATAGAAAATAAATTTCGACTTAAAGCTTTCGTGACTGCAGGGATTCATCTTCTTGGTTCTTTCGGTAAAGTCACGTAGAAGGGAAATTATTAAAAAATAAAACATAATAAAATAATTCTCATGACGTTTCGGCCACAACGCAAGCAGCCGTCCTCAGATGAAGAACAGGTCTGTCGGGAAGACAGCGTCTGAATGACAGACCTGTTCTTCACCTGAGGACGGCTGCTTGCGTTGTGGCCGAAACGGTGAGAATTATTTGATTATGTTTCATTTTTATTATTTTATTATTTCCCTTCTACGTGACTTTACCGAAAGAACCAAGGAGAAATATAAAATAGCTTAATTGTTTCGCCTGTAGGGAATTTGGCTGCCTCGGCTATCTTTGCGGGACGTCATTCCCTCAACAGCACCATCACCTGCGGACTCTGCGACCATCATAAGCAACAGGTGGTGGCCGAGCGCCGAACGGTATTAAACACAGTCCAAACAATTGCGGAAGTTCGCGTGTAAAAAAAAAAATGATCACGTGCAAAAACGTATGTGGAAATGAACATTCTTGATTTAGCAAGGCTGTATAACTCTGCAACTAAAACGCATCACGCCAAAAGGGGGGGGTTTGATGAAAATGACATGAATAAACCGTGTAGCGGGGCCACACACTGCTGATGAGACTCATTTAATCAATAAACCAGCACAAGGGTTTGCACGGCTAAATGCTGCCGGAATACACTGGGTCTGAAAAGTCCCAAGGGGGCATCGACTTGAGGGGTTTTACTATCATCACTCTAACTTCGTAGGAAATGGGAGTATTAAAATAGAATATATTTTTGTTAACATTGCAATGTGCTGCAAAAATATAAAGCTGTTGTGTATAACTGTTTGTCTGTCCAAGACGAGAACACGATGTGGAATGAAGTCTCGTCCTAGGATTTTGGCCACAGTTCACGTTGTAAAACGGCGCGTGGTGCAAACACCGACGCAGGGCGACACCGTGTGGCCACAGGCGGTGCCTACACCCACACGAACACGCGTTACGCAAAAAAAGACAATGATCCCCCGTATAGCCTGTCCACACTGTTGGGGCAAGTGTAGTTAGCGAGTAGCGCCTATTCAAGGCCGGCACGGCACACTTAGGGGGGTTGGGTGGCCAACACCACGGCCTGGGTCGCCTTTGTCTCCCAAGCGGTGACGTTTACACACCGCACCATTGTACTCATTTGAGGCCGAGTCGACCTCGGGGCGGCCCATGACCGGTTCAAATAATCGTTACCGGTGTTGGCCGTGAGCAGCAATGGAACTCGAGCGGCCGGGTTCGTAGCACAGCGCGCCGACAGCAACACTACCGCTTCCCACAACGCGCGTTACGCACACACACACACACCCCCTCCAACCAACGACTGGACAAGGTAGAAGTGCAGCCCCTGCAACTCCCTGTTCATGCCACCGCTGGCCGAAAGACCTCCAACTCACAGGTAGCTCTACAAACTCGAGAAGCACCGTTCTACCGGGAATTTTGGTCGACTATTCCACGCTGGCCAGACGAGAAGTGGTCGATTGAAATCAATGATGATAATAACAATAAGCGTAGCCGTCCGTCCCTTAAGGGGGGGGGGGCACGGCCCACAAAGTGCGATTTGCCCTGGGCCCTGCACCCCCTCCAACTATGGACGGCCCTACCCACATACCCACATTTTACCCCACCTACACGCAGAACTGTCGTGTCGATCCAGTGCGATGTGGACGCAAGTGGCGGGGTGGGATTTAAGAAGCTTGCCTCATCGTTTCACCTACACCCCCCCTCCCCCCCCCGCTCGAGGAGATCGTCGAATCGGCGACTTCTTGATCGCAAGTCCAGCCGCGTGCTAACCGCTACACACCGCCGTTGTCAAACCGCGAACTAGGTGGCGCGTGACTCGTGACCACAGTCGCAGCGAGAGGTGGACTGCGTGTTGCCGTGCCAGGTGCAGAACCGTTTCACACGCACCCCTGACATAGCACGGGCCAGATATATTCACAGAACGAGCAACGGTTGTTACGTCACGTCAATTCATCGTTCGGCTCTTTCGCACCGCCAGCAACTCCGTGGTCAGTCTAGGCCTCTCGATTGCTTCATTTCATCGAAGCTGCAGCCAAAGGTGGCGACCGAGGAGATTGAGCGATGGGATGGGCTCTTGTGCAGGAGCTAGACCTGATCCGTAACATCACGTGACCCTGTGGGCGGGGGGCAGGTGGCGACGGACTTGGGGAGGCATTCATTCAGCCGTGGATGGAACACGTCTGGTCATGACGATGATGATAAACCTCCCTCTCCGCCCCGCCAACTTCACCTCTAAAAAGCCATCCAGCAGTGGACACATCATGAATCAATTGTCACAAAAAAAATCAATGAGGAATGGCACTACCCACCAAAAAAGCGAAAAATGTGGATGATTGTTAAGCTCATGGTCTTATTCGGCTACAAATCAACGGGATAGCTGACACGGCTGATGGTGGAACGGCCAACGTGGGTTTTAAAGGTGGAACTTGCTGCGATAAAATTAAGTGACGGAACTGAATACACTGACAAAATTGGGCGTTCAACTCCGAAACAATTCTCAAGCATCACTGTTTTCTCTGTGAATCAAATGCAGATTTTCTTTCCATCGATTTGCCTATATCTGAGCGCAAAGGTTGGGGATGTGTGTGTGTGTGTGAGACCCGAGCTGCGGAACTTTATAGACATTTGACTTTGTGAGGAGCATCTTGTAATCCACAGAAAATGCTTCCCCATTCATCCTCAACAATTGTTTCCCCAACTACAAACACGTTTAATTTATAAAACAAGCAAAAATCGATCCTCACAATCACGATACGTGCATCACATTCTGCGCAAAAGAATTATTCACAATTCGCACAAGAATTATTCACAATTCGCACGCGTTCACAACTTTAAAACCTTTGGAGGTCGTCGCATCGATCCATGCCCGCTGCAGACTCGACACGTGCCGCGAGGCCTACAAATATACAGCACCAACGACGACGACGACGCGGATTTGCAATCGTCGCCACGAATATCGACAAAACCATCGAATTGTCGAGTGGCCCCCAAATGATTACGTCCACAGTACGTGCCCTTTTCCCCTCTTGCCTCTTTCACAAAAATCACTCCAAGTGGATTGGCGCCACCTCTCACAGTCTCTCTCCGCACCTCGACCAGAACCCAAACGAGGTTCGCACAAAGCTTAAATTACCGGCGACGCAACGAGCAAAGGGGTACAAAACACTGACCCTCTTTATGCGCGAATGCCAGAGCCCCTGAAAGGGCCCTCCCCAGCGGAGAGAGGAGAAGAGAGGGAAGTTACAGACTCGTCGCGCGCGCCACCCGTGCCGCCTATCCACACGGAGCACAGACACGTCCCCTTTCGCCCCCCCCCCCCGCCGTAACTACACGCGGGAGAGACGCACAGCGCTGTTTGTACATTTTAAAAAAATACAATCGACGGTGAGAGAAAAGAACTGAATAAAGACACCCATAAAAATAACTAATCGTGCAGCACATTTTTTTCGTAGCTTCCTGCGGTCGACCGGAGGAGTTTCCTGCATTGATGAAGGGCGCCAACCAACCGCCCCCCCCCACCGCCCCAAACCACCGTCCACGTGGCTTTGGACGGACAGGACCTGAGGATCACCGCAGCGGCGGGATGGGTGGGGGCGCCCCTCGCCGCGTCGGAATGGAATCATCTGCAACAAACAAGAGCAGCGGCGGCGTCGTTCAGTGTCAGTGGGGGGCACGCGGAGGCGGCATGGGGGGAGGGGGGCAAGGTAACCAAGCGGCAATGGACTGTGCGTTGGCGAAAGTGCGCGCACGTCCGATTGTGCGCGCATGTGTGCAGATAAACGCGCAAGTGCTTTTTTGCGATTGTGCAAACATGCTGGCGAGTGTGTTAGCGAGTGTGTTGGCGAGTGTGTTCTCTAGTGTGCGAGTGTTTGACGAGCGTGGCCTATCGTGTGCGAGCGTGTTGGCGAGTGTGTGGGTGTCTGGCGAGCATGTTGGCGAGTGTGTTCTCTAGTGTGCGAGTGTTTGACGAGCGTGGCCTATCGTGTGCGAGCGTGTTGGCGAGTGTGTGGGTGTCTGGCGAGCATGTTGGCGAGCGTGTTGGCGAGTGTGCGAGTGTTTGACGAACGTGGCCTATCGCGTGCGAGCGTGTTGGCGAGCGTGCGAGTGTCTGGAGGGCGCGTTGGCGAGCGTGTGCGTGCGAGCGAACACAACGAGCGTGATGTCGGTGTGCGAGCCGCACTTGGCCGGTTGCTGTGGCTGGGGTAGGTCTTGGGGAAGTTGTGGAACTGCTCCGGGGGTGGGAAGTGCTCCACCGGGTGGAAGGAGAAGCGAGACTCAAAGTCGTCTGCAGGGGGGGGGGGGAAGGGCAGAGAAAATTTCACAACACCACCGCAAACATTTCTCTACGGGTTACATATATAGCACGCGGGGTGGCGGCATTACTTCACACTCTCATGGAATTTCATCGTCATCAGCCACGATCGATCCATTGTTGGATGGTGGCCTCCCGACGATCCACGCAGAACCTGCACGCGAATCGACCCACTTCGCTGTCTCCTGGGTGGAGCGCAATCTCTCGAAAAGCTTTCAAAATCCTTTGGCTGCCTTTGAGGTCCATTATACTGGTAGGAACCTCCTGGTTACACCAGCCCAAGGGGATTATTGTGTCCGTCCGTCCGTCGTGCAGGGAGGGGCTGGGTGGAGAGGGGCTGGATGGAGAGGGAGGGGCTGGGTGGGGAGAGGATGGTGGGGAGGGGCTGGGTGGGGCTGGGTGGGGGGTGGGGAGGGGCTGGTCACCCAGTGGTGCCCTTATAAAACTCAACCTTTAACCTACTCACGCCGGCTTGTGCCCGCCCTCACAGTCGGCCATATTTGCGGAATACACCACGCCGCCGTTGACCCTGGCCATTGACCGAGCAACCCAACGTTCCCACCAGCTCCCTCCGCAGGAATGTGTTTCCTGACCGCCCTAAATCGTGACGTCTGGCCGTAACGTGTCCTGCCCCAATGCCCGCTTCACCGTCCCCCTACGTCGAGAATTTGTTCTAATTAACCCGGTTGTGTTCTCCCCAATCCGAGCGCTCCTTTTTTCCCTCTCGTAAAGCGAATTCCTGCAAACGTAAAAGGAAGTGCGACCGTGAGGCTGCGAGCCATGCAAGGTTGCGCAATGACTCACCTGCCCAGTCATTCGAGTCTTTGTGGAAGTTAGGGGGGGGGGGGGGGTCGTGATTTGATTCGAGAATGGGTTCTTAGTCTCGTTTTGTTTGCGGTTTTCCTCATTGTTATTTTTTTCCTGTTCCTCAGTTTGTACACTTTCTTTTGCCCCACCAACAGCCGCGCGTATATGATCGGCACAGACGCGTGTAACGTTTGTTCAACTAATTCCGAACCGCGCACAGCCAACCGCGCTCATGGGAGATCTCACGATCGATGCTCGCGCGTAATATTTGACGCACGCAACGCGAGCGTGTATACAAAACAATAAAAGTATGCAAATTGACGAATCTACGCATCGTTACACCCCCATCATCCTCGCACAAAACCCGTTTTATCAATACCGTGCAGTCAGGGGCGCCACAGTGGCAAGATGTTAGCTACCTCACTTGGTATACAGGAGGGTCATGGATTCGATCCAGACCCTGACGCCTGCTATATATTTCGAGTTTTCATATCCTTCCCGTAGCCGCGCGCATTTTTCTCCGGATCCTCCAGTTTTTCCCTCCGCATGTAGAATCAACATGTGTTCGAGTATTTTTCCGTGAAAATATTTCGCGATGATAAGCCACGGCGTAGAGCTATCATTTGGGGTCGCTTCTGAAAAAAAGCTATGGAAGTTCGGTGGGCCTTAAACTGCTAAAATAAAAAATAAACTCTTTAAGTTTGACAGTTTATTCTTAAGTTGAAAATCAGATTCAAGGTCAGAGGTCAGAGGATTCCCGAGTCTCACCTCCCATGGGCGACACGAGGCCGCCGGTGAACGGGTCCCTGGGGCCGTTCCTGACGTGCGGAGGGGGAGGAGGGGCGGCACCGAAACCGGTGGGGCGGCTGGATGGAGGGGGCGGCGGTGGGCCCCCGCGGCTCCTCCCGGGGGGAGCCTCGGAGGTGAAGGGGGAGCGGCCGGAAGTAGGCGGGGGCGGCGGCGGTGGCCCCCTCAACGTAACGCCGCCACCGCCACCGCCGTTCCTCGACGGCGGAAGTGGGGGCGGTGGGCCTACGGGACGATCATGAGAGGCGGGGGGGGGGGTCAGACTGCCGGACCGTCGATAACTTACAGGCTTCTTTTAGTCAATACCACCCAGCAACTGCCGACGCCGCGACGTTGAGGTGCAGGGGGTCGTTGGGTCAGCGCGGCTTGGAGAAGGGACGGGTTCCAAAACAGGAGCACCGGTTCAGATGTCACTCGATCGATGGGTAGCTCTGGCCGGGGTTTGAACTCATGTTGGCAGGTTTCGTAGCGTGGCGGCTGCGACACCATCGCTTCTCGCCATCCGGGACAAAGTGTTTAACTTATAGTTTACAATTAACAGGTGGGGGAGTGAGGGTGTGAGAATCGGCGCAGAGGAGCCAAACGGCGGGCAGAGGCCCGGACAGAAGCTACCGCAGCCCAGCAACAACGACAATAACGATGACAATGTCAACAACGTCAACAACGACAACAAGGACAACCATGACGACAACAACCACAATGACGACAATGACAACGATGACATGTATAACGACAACAACAACAGCATTGATAAAGACAATAATGATGACAACAATGACAACGACAGTGACAACAATGACGCAACGATAAAAAACGACCACAATGAAAACAACGACACCAATGACGACAACAACGATGACAACGACAACAGTGACAATGGCAACAACAATAACAGAGACAACAATGACGTCAACAACGATGACATCAACATCAACGACAACGAGCAACAACGAGCCAGGGGAGCAGCAGCTGCACCATCCCTCCGGGATTAATAAAACGACGACCGCGCGCCACGGACTCACCCGACCGGTGTGGCGGTTCCCGGCTGGGAGGGGGTGGCCGGCTGTTGCTGCTGCCCACGGGCGGAGGAGGGGGCGCCGCCGACCTCGGTGTGCCACCGCCGCCGCCGCCACCGCCGCCGCCCGAGGGGTGGTACAGCGAGTTCTGCCTCTGCGGCAGTGCCGGGCCGTCCGACACGGAGTGCCGGCTGGGCGGGGGCGGGGGCGCCATGCCGCGGCCGGACTCTCCCCGGTGAGCGGGCGGAGGCGGAGCGCCATTCCTACGCGCGGGGGGCGGTGGAGGGGAGGGGGCAGACGGCAACGCGCGGTCACCCGGATGTCATGCCAGCATCATGCCAGCGTCACGCCAGCGTCACATCGACGTGCGCGTGGTGGTGGGGGTGAAGCCGTGCCCGCCGCTGGGTATCGCTTCGTCCGTGCCAATTTGCCGGGTGCGGTCACAGGCAGCAAAGTGGCCTGGTCAACACACGAAGCGCAAAACACGCATATGCTACGAATCCGGCAAACACGAGTTCGATTCCCGCTCTCAAACAATAACGGTGGCCATTCATCTGCGCCGTTACTGGGCCTCGCCTAGGTAGACTCAGCCTCAAATGTGTACCTGGTGCAATGTGTAAACATCGCCTCTATGGGACTGGTGCTGGCCACCCACTGCCCTCTTGTGCCGTGCCGGCCTTCATAGCTTCTCACTCTGCCGCACTTGCTCCAAAAGTCTGCGAAGGCTATATGGGGGTATCTTTGTCTTTGTAGGATAACTCACAATGCATCCACCCAAACAAACCACAAAAATGCTCTCTTATCTTATGAGAAAAGCTCCTGCCAAGTGCAAAAAAATAGAGACAGAGCGAGCCTGCCCTGAATTGTTCTACCCCGTTCCAGTGGTGGAGTCTGGCACACTCGGTCAAGATGGACGAATTATTTATACATGAATCATAGTCCTAATTGGTGGACATACTATGTGCACGTTAAAACACCGCTTGATTATTACAGTCTACCACTACTACAACCACCACCACCATGTTCCCGTGAACTTGACTCATTGATTCCTCCACCCGTGTGGAGGACTGGATCTCTACCAGACGCTGACTATTTCGTCTCATCCACCGCACTTGTGTCCAACCACCACCACCACTACCACCATGCTCCAGGCCAACAAGAATGACTTGTACAAAAAAGCCATATGAAACGAGTAGGGGGGTTTCTCAGATATTTCACTCCCACTGACTGTGTCAAATACATCAGTGAGATTAAAGTTGAGCCACCCTATAAGGATCGACTTCAATGGACGAATCGGTGCGTCGTCAAACACGGCTGTCGTCCTGCACGTAAGCGTCTGTGGTGTCAGCGCCAGGGTGGCGAGATGTTATCTCCCTCGCCTGGTATGCAGGAGGTCGTGGATTCGATCCTCGACCCTGACGCCTGCTGTATATTTGAAGTGCGCATCTTCTCCCCGTGGATTCTTCACCTGGTCCTCCGGTTTTTCCCTCCAACATTTAGAATCAACGTGCGCGTATTTTGCTGCTAGAAATTCCCACACGATAATCACTATTTGTGATGCCCTAGATCGCTTCTGAAAAAGAGCTGTACAGCTCAGTGGTGCCTCACCTGGCAAAAACAAAATCGGTTGAGTTGCTTCGTTCACGCAAAGATAATTATCAAAGGGGCACGACGATCGAGAGGGCGCACGGAATGCGTGAGAAACGGGTGCCAAAAAAAGACACAGTGCGGCCACGTGGCATTTAAAAGTGGAGGTGCAAACCGGGGGGGGGAGGCCTCCATCCCAACCCCTTTGCCACCTGATGAAAAAAAAAACTCGCCAACGTTACGTAACAAAGCCACCGGGGAGCGGGGGGGGCGTTACTCTCACAAGCCGCTGCTGTGTCTTCGTTTCCTGCGGCTGGACAAGCGTGCGGATTTTGCGTACTGCGGGGTTCACAAAGGTTTTCACAATTCGTCACGCTCTGGGCAATGCGGAGAAGAATGCCAAAATTTCAGTTCTGCAAGCTAACAGTTTTGCAAAAAAAAACACACGACCGCGCCATGGCGTCGGGAGTGGGTTGGGGGGAGGGGGGGGTAGAATAACTAGCAACGAAAACACACACATTGTCACGACACCCTCGAAAAAAACCTTTACGTGCCAAGGGATAAAAAGGTGAACAATTAAAAAATATTTTAAATCCTGCGTTTGTTCGGCCGCATATAACAGACAAAGATTAAATCCCTCAGAGCCTGAACAGACTATTGGGGCAAGTGCTGTTAGCGAGCACCTATGAAGGACAAAAACAGCACACGATGGGGTGGGTGGCAAGCACCACGCCCGGCCGCCTTTGTCTCCCTAGTGGCGATGTTTACACACCGCATCATTTACTCATTTGAGGCCGAGTCCATCTAGGGGAGGCCCAGGACCGATTCAGATAATCGTCACTGGTGTTGGTGGCCGTGAGCAGGAATACAACTCGGGCCGCCAGGTTTGTAGCTCAGCACGTTAACCGCTACACCACCACTCCCCGGCGTGGCTCGGTTGCACAGCAGAAAAAAATATGAAAATTCTCCTTACACAGATACACAAATACACACACACACACACACACCGATCGCTCTGTAAATGAACAAACGGCCACGACGCTTGCAAACCCCCCTGGCCGGGCCCCCTCACCTGCTCGAGTAGTGGGGGGGTGGCGCGGGGGGGCCCCCCTTTCCGTACGAGTGGGCCGACGGCGTCAAAGGCTCCCGGTACGGTGGGGGAGCGTCCCTCCTCATCGATGTCCTGTGCGGGGGCGGCGGTCTGTCCCTGCCTTGCATGGGGGGCGGCTGGCTGCTCTGACGCAGCTGCTGCTGCTGGCTGTTGTTGTTGTTGCTGCTACCGCCGCTGCCGCTGCCGTACTGCCCTCCCGCGCCCGCGTACGACGAGTGGAGCGACGAGGCGGGCCTGGGCGTCGCCGGGGACGCCGGGTAGGAGGGACGACGGGCGCCGGGGGACGCGGCCTTGGTGCCGTGCGGCGGCGGCGGCGGTGGCGCCACGTGGTGCGGCTTGCTCTGGCCCGCGCCGCTACGGTAACCGGCGGGGTTGCCGGCGCCGTACGCCTGGTGGGCCGACGACAGCACCGACGGTTCGGGCGCAGGGCCGTTGAGGTTGGTGGCGACGCTGCTACTGTACAGCGAGGAGCGGGGGCGGCTAGGAGGGCTCGGCATTCGACTGCTGCTGGTGCCGCTGCTGCTGCTGCTGCCAGCGCTGGAGAACGGCCGTGGCGTCAGGGAGATGCCGGCGGGACGGCCGCCCGGCGGCGGGTGCATCGCTCCTCGGCTCCCACCGCTGCTGCTGATGCTGCCGGAATCTTTTGTAACGGACAAGGGCGGAGGCGAAAGTTCGTAATACAGTAGGAACCCCTCTTAACGACGGTAATTTGTGCCACGAAAACCGGTCGTTAAGTGATTTGGTCGTTAAGAGAGTACAGGAAAGACACGTTAAAGGATTCATTCGTTCTGAAAGTTACCATTTTTCATCCAAAAAACGTACTTTATAATATTTATACAATGGATATTAATACATAAATATAGCAACAACATTATAAACACACACTATTTTAAGAAACATGGTTAATCAATGGATAAATTAATATTTACAGGGGAATGGCCGATAAGCGAACACATTGGGCTCTATGAAGGCCCGTCGTTAAGCGATTAGTCATTAACAGGGGTGGGCGTTAACAGGAGTTCCACTGTAATATGAATACGATAAACTATCCCCATTTGCCATTCGCGCCGTTCTCATAGCACAAGGCTATCTGGCACGAAGGCACGGTGTTTCAAAGACGTTAGGCTTGCAGTAGTTTCGCAGTCGTGGGGGCGATGTTGCTACGCATAACCTCATTTGGAGAAAGATGCTGGCACACAATGGCCTACTCTTTTCAAGTGATGACCCCCCCAGCGACACGCGCAAACACGGACACACAAACACACTCGCAGCCCTCCGAGTGCCATAACCACGCTCCTGCTTACCTCCATTGTCCCGTGCCGTGGTAGGACGCAGTTGAGGGACGCCACCGGCAAATAGCCCGCCAACACCACCGCCGCCACCACCACCACCGCCACCGCCCCCTCCCTTGGGTTCTGCGATGTTGAAACCACCGTGTTTCAGGGACAAGTCAGCACAGACTGCCAGTGCAGCAGCGGAATTTCAACAGGATGCGAACAAGTCAAACTGGCTTCTCTGTGCCAACTGGAGATGCGTGTACGAGCGTGCAAGCGTGAAATTTATCGCCCTTTTTATTAATCCACTGGCGGACGAAGGCCTCCCCTCGCCCACCGGTCGTAATGGGGTTGTTTGCCCATCCTTCACCGCGCTGATTAGTGCGGCGTTGGTGAACTCGGGTGGGGGCGGTTGTGCACCCACGACCGGTTGAGATATCGCTCGCCACCGATGTTAGCCGTGGCTGCGAAAGAACCTCAAGGTTGATGATCGGCCAGTGTGCTAGAAAAACCCAGCATCCCGAGTTCGATTCCCAGCTGCTGCTAACATAGTATATCTAAAACCGGTGTTGGGCCTCCACTAGGTTGACTCATCCTTAAAATGAAAACCTCATGCTGCGTGTAAATATCAGCACTGGGGAGATAAAGGTTGTGGTGTTGGCCAACCTCTCGCTCGTGCTTGGATCCGGCCTTCATAGGTGCTCCCTCAAAGTAACTGTCTCTGCAGTCTGCTAAGGCTATACGGGGGATCTTTGTCTACGTACAGGCCTGTAAGCTCGTGTGTGTACGAGTACGCGTGCTTGTACAAGCATGCGTGTGCACGTGCGGTCGTGGCAAGTGAGGGTGTTTCGGCAAAATCACCGCGCCGCTCAAAAATCCTCGCCGCATGGTCTCAACATGTCGTGACACGGAGAAGAAACACACACCGCCCAGGAGGAGCACGCGTCCCTCCCTCAAGCCATTCCTATCCCTCCCCGCAATCCATCCCTCCCTCCCACACTCTCTCCCTGTTCCTGTCTCCATCCCCCCAAAGGCTCGCCTCATCTCTCCCTAGCTCCCTCTTCCTCCATCCCTCACTCCCTTCACCTCTTTCTCTCTTCCATTCCTCCGGCCATCTCTCCATCCCAGCCAGCCACCCACCTTCCCATCCCGCCCTGTCAACCCCCCCCGAGCGCTGACTCACTGTCTATGAGGGGTGCGCTGCGGTCGTTTGTCACGATCTTCTTCAGACGCGCCCCACTTTGAATGTCGGAGAGCAGCGCTCCCCTGCCCCTCTGCTCCGTGCGCGGTAGCCTGGGAGGCTCAGTGTTGGCCTGGAGACAGATGAGCAAGCAAGCATGCTGATTGCTGGGGCTGTGTTCTTTATATACATGGAAGACACAAACTGATATTTAGTAGATATATAATAAAAAACAAAAACCTCACCACATTCGTCAATAACTCTGTTACGACGTTAAAAAGCTAAAGTATATTACAGGTGATGTTTTTGTCAATGGCCTTTCCTCACAGCGCATATAGGCCATAGATGGAGTGTCTATCTTATGCTGTAGACAACACACCTAGGCTGCATCCGAATTAGTTTCGGATACAGAAGACTTTGTGAGATTCTAGTTGTTTTTTTACGGCAATTTCAGAAACCTTCGAGTTGGATTTTACGGTGTTAACGTCGCCGCGTGATATCCCCTCCTTCCACCCCACTCCCCCCACCATTAAAATGCCAATTCAGCCACTGCCCCACACTGCATGTAACCGAGCGCTATCCAGGCGCAAAAACCCTGCTGAGCTTCCGAGATCCGGTGCAATCAAGAAATCAGGTGCATTCTGGGTGGTTTGTGGTCATGCTTGTAACAAAAATTAACTTGATCACGCACCTTAGGACGGTCTGCATAATAAAAAAAACCTGGAGGCCCCCAGCTAAAGTACAACACGTACGAAGTGCTGGGAATTTTGAGTCAAATCAGCAATAGCCACACGAGATGACGTTGCACGGTGTTGCGACGATGGCTTCAGGAAGGGAGGGCGGAGGAGGAGCAAGCATGGAATGTAAGTAGAACGTTTTTATGCACCACACATAGCCCCACTGTACTAAATGTGACATCACGTTAGCCAAAAAGGCAAATAGCTCTGACTGCTGGTTTTTTACCGATGTTCTGGGAAAAAAAATTTGGTCAATTTTAGGCCAATTAGCGACGCAACTTTACGCAAAGAAACTGTATTCACAATGGATCACGTTCACCAGGATTATCGTGAGCCTCGCAAAGCAGACGAGACAGGCAGACGGGCACAAAGACAGAAGCACAGAGACAGGACAGACTGACAGACGGACAGACAGGGGACAGACGGACAGACAGAGATATGGACAGACGGATGCACAGACGAAGAAGAACGGGGAAGAGATGGAAACAGAGCGACAGACAGACAGCCAGACAGACAGAGCCAATGAATTCACGCCGTCAACACCTTTGCTAGAACGCTTTAAAACAAAGCACCCTGGTACGGTGAAAACAGTTGTTGTTGTTTTCCCGAGTCATAATCCTTGACGTTTTCATTATTTATTTCTGGCTGCAAACTTCCAGAGGCACGCGAAGACACCCGTTTGGCGGGCTTACCTGCGAGAAGGTGGGGGGCGGGGGAGCCGCGGGGGGTGGCGGGGGTGGGGGAGGGACTGGCATTGTCCGCTTACGACTTCTAAAACGCAAATCACCCAAGAGCCGTTGGGGGGGGGTGGTGGTATGTACGGATGCGTCTCTCTCGCCTGCCGATGCCGCTCGCGGATCGTCGGCCCCACACCTCCCCGCCCCAACCTGCGAATGGCAGCGAAAGCAGGGGGGGGGGCACCTCTGTTTAGCTGGGGGGTAGGGGGGCAGGTGAGTGCGACCAGCCGAAACATCGATAAGTGATCCGTCTGCGCATTCAAATCACGTGGAAAGAGAAAATAATTAATTAAATGATAGCATACGACTTTTCGATTGCAACACAAGCAATCATCATCAGGTACAAATGAAAGAGAAAACAAAACCTAGTTAACTTAGAAATGTAATGCAATACAACGCAGAGAGTCGATTAACATAACAGTCAACACCCCACCTGGTTGATTATCTCCGTGTCTGTGTTTTGTCTCGCTCTTAAATTTAGCAATCTTTGGAAGAACATAATCAACCAGGTAGGGTGTTGACTGTTATGTTAGCCGACTCTCTGCGACTCTCTCCGTATTACTTTATTTTTCTTCGTGACTTTACCGAAAGAACCAAAGAGTAATTCATGCAGTCACGAAAGCTCCAAATCAAGTGAGCATACATTGCTTTAGGAAAGCCGACGGATCTCTTCCCTTTCGAGGCTCGTCGCTGGACTGAACGAACAGAATCGACGAGAGACAGAGGGAAGAGATGAGACGGACAGAATGAATGAGACAACGAAGGAGATCGCAGGACAAACAAGACTACCAGTAGGAACAAAACAGAGGTAACACAAACAAGCCCGAATATAAAACAGACGGTATAAACGAGACAAGACAGACAGCACAGAAGAAACTGAACAGAGGAAACAAAACTAACGAGGCATACAGCACTAACGAGACGGACGGTAACTAAGGACGAGGCAGCACCGATGCTAATTCTAGTACGAACAGGAACACCGCGTACGGACGAGACGATGCATGCAACCCGGAGGGGACGTACAGCGCGGCGCAAACCAGACGCGAGGGAGCCCAGTCGATTGCACCAACCGAGCCACGAGCGTCGAAGTCGCGACGAGCAATCGGAGTCGCGAGGACGAGAGCGTGCACGGACACGCGCCCGGCGGCGCTTGGCTTTCACAGAAGTTTTGAGAGACCGCACGGGATGCGGCTTGGAAAACAGACGGACGCACGGCTGACGAGGGAGGAGGAGGAGAGCTCGGAGGCGCTGGAATTACACTCGACGGCACAGTAAATAATTTAAGCTGCGTGCGTGCAAACACCTCGCTGCCGCGGAGCACGCGGAAACCGTGCAACTGGGATGGCATGCTGCCGCACGACATTCTCATGGTAGACATTCGCAGCCAATTGATCTTTTCCCAACAATCCATATACGCTGCTGCCCTCTCCGTCACCTTGGGCTACATTTTGACAGTTTGTGTGTGTGTGTGTTGTTAGTGTGTGCGTGCGTAGGCGCGCATGTGTACGCTGGTCTATGGGGAGCGGTAGCGCAGCGTTACGAAGCTGGCCAAACGAGTTCGATTCCCGCTCACGGCCAACACCAGCGATGATTATTTGAACAGGTCCTGGGGCCTCTCCCCCTGGGTCAACTCTGACTCAAATGAGTTCCTGGTGCCATGCGTAAAAACATCGCCACTGCAGAGACAAAGGTGGTCGGGCGTGGTGCTGACCACCCACCCCCCTCGTGTGCCATGCCGGCCTTCATAGGTGCTCTAGAACAGCACCTTCCCCAAAAGTCTGTTCAGGCTATATGGGGGATCTTTGTCTTTGTTTGCATGTGTATGCTTGTCTGTCTGTGCGCTTTTGGGTGCATCTACGTGTGTGTCTGTGCATGTGAATTCGTATGCGGATGTGTAGTGCAGCGGTTAGCGCGGGTTCGCTTCCCGTCCACGGCCAACATCAGTGACAAAGCTGAGCCGGGTCAAGGCCTCCCCCTTTATCGACTCGGCATTAAATGAGCAAGTGGTGCGGTGTGTAAACAGCATCGATGGGGAGACCAAGCCAGCTGGCTGTGGTGCTAGTCACTCGCCCCCTCAGGTGCCGTGCCGGCCCTCACTGGTGCTCGCTAACAGCACTTGCCCAAATCGTTTGCGAAGGCTGTACGGGCCGTCCTTTGTATGTGTAGTGTAGTCCTTCGGCCTACTGGCACTACAACGTCCTTTGGCCTCTTGGCTCTACAGACCAATATCATCCAGCAGTAAACTATGGACCAGTTTATGTATGCAATGGATGTCACTGTACACGAGTTGCTTTGTGTGTTAGTCGATAATACACTGAAGTGTATAACGCAGATATTGGTTGTCTTGAAACACTTTTTTGAGATTCAAATGTTGATACCTAAGCACAGTAAAAACATTCCAGCAGAACTCCTTTGTGCCAATAAATTGTCCATCCAGATCAATTGCCTTTACAGACCAATGACATCTGACAGCATTTGTTTAAGCAAGTAAACTCCCGACCATTTTTCGACCTTGTGGGCATTGCAGGCGTGTTAAACAAATACTGCCTGCCGGGTCAGACATTATTGACAAGAGCACTCCATCTAAACAAGGGTGTTGAACTCGCTTCAACTGTTCTCGTTTAATCTTGATTTGAATGCTTCCGTGACCGCAGGAATCCATACTCTTTGGTTCTTTCGGAAAATTCACGTAGGTAGAAATAAAACAAAATGATTTCGATTTAAAGCTTTCGTGACTGCAGGGATTCATCTTCTTGGTTCTTTCGGGAAAAGTTTGACCCGTGTGATGTAAGATAAAAAAGTTTAGCTGGAGGCATATTATATTTTTTGCGACATTAAATTGTAATGTATGACTTACTGTTAGTAGCTCAGCCTTATTGCTGAGTATATTTAGTATACTGATGATACTGATGTAGTTACTATTTTAGTTTTTTACGTGGTGGTTTAGTTGCTGCAGCTCTATACTATTAACATTCCTTCCCTTTATTAATGCTAACCCTACTCCCTCGCTTTGATGCTGCTAATCCTGCATAATGCACGGGCATAACATGACTTTGAAACCCCCTGCCCACCTCCTACGCATTCCACAAGTAGTGACTAATCCCACATCTGCATTACCCATAAATATGCTAAATTCCTCTTGATATGCAAATTCCTTTGTCAAGGCGCTCTTCCCCCTCCAACCCAGCTTAAATATACGCTGCCAAGCCTGGTGGTGTTCATTCAGACGCTGTCTTTCCGACAGACCTGTTCTTCACTTGAGGACGGCTGCTTGCGTTGTGGCCGAAACGTCGTGAGCATTATTTTATTATGTTTTATTTTTATTATTTTATTATTTCCCTTCTACGTGACTTTACCGAAAGAACCAAGAAGATGAAAACAAAATAAATCACGACGTTTCGAACGTGCTGCTCGCTGCAGACATCGCGGCTATCGCGATTTTCACCCGAGGACAGGCGCTTGTGTTGCGTGCGAAACGTCGTGATTTATTTTGTTTTATTTCTACCTACGTGACTTTACCGAAAGAACCAAAGGGTATGTTCCAGTTTACTCCGTTGGCACCTCGCGACCTGTTTTATACTGGTTGCGAAAGCATACGTGTTAAACTGTTTTATACTTGTGTAAGATGTGATATCAATTCTTAACTAATAATGATCATAATGACGATGATAAAAAAGAGATGTTATTCAAAGGATCGCAGACCAAAATAACAGGCAAACACACAACCCTCGTGAACGTCGCTCGTTTCCCCATGCAAATTTAGACAACATTCTGTTTGACGTTCCACTCTTTCCGCGTGCGGTGTAATGGTTAGAACACTGGACTTGCAGTGCAGAGGTTGCCAGTCAAATTCGATCTGATGACACCACCACCGCAGTTGATACAACGTTAAAGTATTTATTTTTTTGCTATTCCCCCACTGCCTCTGCCCACCCCAGCGGTATAGATGGGTGCATCCCAGTTGGTCGATCGGCAGGTGGCGTGTGGTTGGTTAAAGTGTGGGGAAAACTCCCATCTCTTCCATGACGCCTGGCCGGCGCGAAAGAGTAGGCAAAAACACCGTACCCTCTAGGGTAGAAGCCCTTCCGTCAGCAGTGGTGTCGTGAGAAGGCAATTCTAAGCTGGCGCCTCTACACTGCTCTTGATCAGGAAGTGCGTGCGAGGTAGCGAACTCTCACAATAAATGCCAGGGTCATGCAACCTGAATGGTGGAGGCAAAGTGTTTATGTATGTTGAACTTCTTTCGCACCGTACATAACCAACCGTTACTAATCGGAGGTGCGGGGGAAGGTCAACAAACTAAACACAAAAAGCAGTTCTAAAGAAATTCGTTATCAATCTAGATGATTTAAAAGTGCATAACTCCAGTGGCTTCCTAATATCAGAAGGAAGAGCGTTCCAGATAGCCGCAGAAGCACATCTGAAAGCACGCGGTGCGGTGACCGTCTTTATTCAATGGCGAGCCAAAGGCCGTTACGAGGATGACCGAAATTCACGTGATGGTTTATGCTCCTTGACTAGATCAGCAAGGTATTGTGGTTCATTCTTGACAAGCACTTTATCTGTGACGAGGACGAAATTATAACGAATTCGCTCGGCAACCGGAAGCCAATGCAGCTTGGCGATCACGGGACGAACACGGTCGTATCTTGCGGTACCCGTCGCGACACGAGCCAACGAATTTTGTACACGCTGCAGCTTGGCGAGTTTGCGAGTGATGTTTACAACCGACGCGCAATGCGCCATTAAGAGGAACCAAACATCATGTTCCTTGTTTGTCTGATGGAGGCAAAAAAGATATCAACGCAGGAATATTACTCGATGCGTATCGAGTAAATGGCGGCAGACACAGCAGAGCGGTTGAGAGCCCATTTGACGGTTGTTTCGGAGGTTTGCTGGTTCGAGAAGAGCGGCAGCCCCGGTTAATACCGCGGGCGGAATGACACCAGAAACATACCCCCGCTGTCTGCACTGCAGCAGGCATCATTCAAGATCCCGTGGCATGACTCCAAAGAGAGCAAGGGCCATGTGTGCCAGCATCACGGGGCCAAAAATCATATAATTAACATAAACCAAAGAATGTCACTAGTTATTGGCCAAACACTATCCCCCGATTCTGAAACGTTGCCAGCAAATCACTTGATTGGTAT